CCTTCCCACCCAAACCCTTCTGTGAGTCTCTGATGGATGTCTTATCCTCGGTGCCAGGTGCTGCACACATGCTGTTCACTATATTTTAGGAACAGATACAGCCTTGCTGGCTGCAGTTGAGTGTTTTTCCCCTCTCTAAAATACTCATAGTTCATGGGAAACTGTCATTAACACAGTCCCTTACCCAAGCTGTTCTGGATTTTGAGAGATACGTGTATTAACAAACCATTTTTTAAAAAATAATTGCTGTAGCTGCGTCCGGGTGGTATGGCATTGCGTGGGCTTGTGCTTCCAGGAGACGCGTGGTGCATGTTGTGGAGGTCTCAGTTCTGGTCAAGAGTGTGCCTTTGCGTTCCTTTGTACCCTGATACCTTCCCTGTGTAAGGAGAACACTCTTTGAAGGTGCCTCACAGCGTGCGTACGACTTGTTCTAGTTTTTGGAATGAGGTAGCAGGAATTCTCCTTAAAGGGCTTACACTTTTTCTTGACTACAGCATATATAATGTCAGATATGCAAGTTATAGCATATATAATATCAGATATATCAATATTTATGAATTGAACAAAAAACTCAGAGGACAGCGTGTTGAGGAAATACAGGGCAACCACGAAAGCCAAGTCCATCAGAATCGAGATGACATTTTCTCCATCGGATCTGCTGATAACCCGTCTCCACATTCCGAACATTTTGAGCGTGCGTCAGCTCTGCGGTCACATCTGCTGTTATCCCAGTTGTATCTTCACAAGTTGAAGGCACCTTTTAACCTTGTCCTTGGGTGGTTCAGAGCAAGCGTCGGGTTGTTTGTGCCACACTCCCGGGGGTCCTGCGCAGGGATGGTTCAGGTGTCCTCAGGGGGCTCATTTCATGCAGCTTCCAAGCCCGTATTTAAACCGTTTCACCAGCCCCTTCCAACGATGAAGACCACTGAAATTTTGTCTTCATACAAGTAAAAAGCTTTTTGGTTGCTGAGCATCATTTATTATTGACGCTTATTTCATTTTGTGAACAGGGTCGGAAGCTTCTCATCATTGGAACCACCAGTCGCAAAGACGTCCTGCAGGAGATGGAGATGCTGAACGCCTTCAGCACCACCATTCACGTCCCCAACATTGCCACGGGGGAGCAGCTCATGGAGGCTTTGGAGGTGAGAAAATGTTCAAGGATGACAAAGAAGTTCAAAATTTGCTGGAAATGAGCTATTTTGCAGTAGCTTTGCATTTGGGAACGCTGTCCCACTTAACGTTATAACAGCTCTAAGGCTTCTCTGAATTACTTTTTCATACAATAAATTCAGGGAAAATGAGAGAATGTGTCTAGGGAGGGAAGTTTGTGGAGTGGATTGAAAGATTCCCAGGGCATGGAAGTGGCTAATGATGATAATTGCGGCACTTAAACTGAATGTGCCTGGAGGGTGCCAAGCTCTCATGAATTGGAAGAACATCAAATGAAGGTGCTTGGTGCTGAAGAGATTATATGTTCTTTATAAATTCGTGCCCTTAATGGCTTCTTAATCTATGCCACGGTGGAAATGGTAGTGAATATTGAGGCTGTTAAAATAAACTTAAGAGGGAAATCTTCTGTGCAAGCTTGCAGAGCTGTCACCAAAGCCTGAAAGACACAGACGCTCTTGCAGCGGTTTTGAAAACTCACTGTGGCTTGAGCTGCTGTGTTCCTTCTAGACTCTGATCTGGAGAAAAACTGGAAAGAGCGTCCTAACTGTTCGGTTAGAGATGTTATGTAAAGAACCATTATGGAATAAAAGAATCAAAGTGTTTTGCCTTGCCCAGATACATTGCAACAAATTTTCCTTCTAAGCTAGAAAATGCTCTCTAGCTTCTCATTCCCTTCTTCCTGAGTTAGGTAGCTTTATTCCCACTGGCAGTCTCTTGTTGTTGATGTTTTTATTTTTTATTTTTCCCCTCCAGCTCCTGGGTAACTTCAAAGACAAGGAACGCAGCACGATTGCACAGAACGTCAAAGGGAAGCCTGTCTGGATTGGTATCAAGAAGCTGCTGATGCTGATAGAAATGTCGTTACAGGTAAGAATGTTTCTGGTCCAGGAAGGGCTGGGATAAACAGAGCAGTCGGAGGGGTTCCCACTTCTCTGCAGCCTCCTACTTTAGCTGTGTGGTGGGAGCCTTTCAATTGGTTTGATTGAGAATATTGCTACAGCGAGAAGAAATTTTCTGAACAAAGAAATCACCAGGTCTTGGTCCACGGAGAGATCTTTAAAAACCCCGGTGCCTATAGGCTGTTCAGAGCCGCACTTCAGAGAGGAGCATCTGGCAACTGGAGGGATTGGATTAACTTACCTTTCATGGAATTTCTCTCTGCGCCCCATGTTAAGATTGCAGATAGCAATCACTTTGGATTTTTTTTTTTTTAAAGAAAAAGGTGCCTATGCAGGTGTATGTGCTTTTTCCCTGAAGAAGATAAATCTGTCAGACCATTCAGCTGCTCTTCTCTTTATTTTCCACTTTCAGCACTTTAAAGAAAATAATTGCAGAGGGTAGAAATATGCAGCTCTGAACCCTCCCCCGCTCCCATCACCCATGCCTGCGAGCCAGCCATCAGACAGGAGATGCACGCGAAAAATGAGAGGGTGTAGCGTGCAGCCCTAATCCTCCGCGGCTGACATTTCAGCGCCCTTCGGAGTCCTTCCCCCCCTCGCACACACTCTCTTTTCACATCAAATGGATTTAGTGCAGCTGAGTGAACTGTCCTTAGATCTTCCTAGGAGAGGCTGAGCATAAGCGGAGAGGCATGTCGTTTAGCAGCAAATAAGTCATGTATCCCTCTGTTCGCTCTTCGCAATTCTGTTAAAACTTGCACAGCGCTAAGGATATGCTCTGACTGGATGTCACCTCGGGGAATAAAGTCATTTATCTAGATTACTTTTTCCTCTTCTTCCTTGGCTTTTAATTCCATACCTACAGGCAAGTCAGTAAGTCATTGCTCGCACGTATTAAATATATTTAAGGGGCGCAGGCCTTCGGGGACTGCCCGGCTCTGCTGCAGTCCGTTTCACTTAACCTTGACAATGGATTCCTTCTTCTGACACAGGACGGTTTCTTTTGCTGCTTTGACCTCAAGTGTTGGTTCTTTTCCAAACTGAAGGTGAAGGTTATGGAAAGGGTGGGCAGTTCTGCCTCTGGAGCACGGGTGGAAGTGTTTACCCCGGGATTGTTCACAGCATCACCCTGTGGCCGCACACCTACGATGCTGTAGGTAGGGAGTCTTCACGCTGCCCTAGACTGTGCAGACAGGTAAACTGGTCTTGGGCATTATTTATTTTTTTTTTTTTAACCAGACCACCGTTTTGTAGGTGAGTCCGTGGCCAGTTGGGCTGGGAGAGGACAGGCAGGACCGTGACTCTGGGCTGTTTCTGACAAATTGGACAAGTGTAAAAGGAAGGGCTGCTGCTGCTGCTGTGAATCATTGATAATTCACCTTTGCTGGATGGTTGGTAGCAGGGCGACTGATATTACACTCAATTCAGGTAATAGTGTCATAGCATATGGAAGCTAAATATGAAAAAGTTCTGTTCCAAAAGGTCTGAGGTGTTTACGTGACTCCATCTGCTGAACTCAGAAATACAGGAAAGCAATACAGGCTCTCGATAAATAGGAGAGTGCTCATATCTGGATGCATGGGAAGCCCACAGTGATATCTAATTTGGGTAGCTTTTGCAGGAAAGCAGGATTTCACCAAATAAGAAGTCCAACACTAGTCCCTTTTTTTTTTCACTGAGCTGGACCACAGCTTTTTAGAAAGAGATTTGAATCTGAAATCCCTGAAAAATTCCAAGCGATGGATGAAATTTCTCAAAAATTCAGCTGATTCGATTCTATGGTGAATTAATTCTTTGCAAAAAATATGTACCTAGTTTCTTTCTCTGCAGTCACTGAACTGTGGTTTTTTGCTCTCTTAGACCAGTAAACCCAGTCTCCGCTATATGTAGCTATTAAGCTGTTCAAGTGCCTTTCGGTTTGTTTCAGACTAAAGTCTTGCTGAACCAGTCTCAGTATGAAAATCGTTTCATGGAGTACCACGAACCCCTGCATCGCTCTGGTGTCTCGGGTTGCTTCGTTACCGTGTTTACGAGCCTCGTAAACCCACACTGCTGGCAGCTTCATTTCCCACCGACTGTGTTATTGCTGTTCCTGGCCTTCCTTAACGTCGCACTGCTCGTATGCAGCGTCACGTACTTGCTCACCTTGCACACGCTGCGTGTCCTGGAGTGATGTTATGTTCTTGTTCCAAACAAGTCTTTGATGAACGGACGCACTCACGGTTTGTCACCTCAATCCAGAAGAGTTTAGCTTTGAGGTGTCCTTGGCTGCGGTGCTGTTGGGTGCCACGCTGGCTTCCCTACCCTGGGGTGCTGCTGGGTACACGTTCCCTAGCTGGGGGCTGGTTTCTTCTGCTGATTTTGCCTGTTTGTCGTGTTGCTCTCGGACCTTGCTGGCCACGCTCCAAAGCCCAGCTTGCTCTCCTTCTCGGAGCAGGAACCCGAATGAGCCAGGCAGCTTTCCAGACAGCCCCCTTTTGCACCTCCAGTATTTCCTCATTTGGGAACTTTGGTTTAGGATAAATAAAACTTAAGTTAGTCTAAGGTGTTTGCATTTTAACTTACATGGGAACTTGTTTTGAAAGGACATCATCTAATATTGCCTAAATTATTTTAAACTAAACACAGCGTCTGGACATACTAAGAGCTTGGATTTTATGACACGTTTACAGGAGTGTACCATACTACCCATGGGCGTGCACGTCTCGGTGGAGTGCCGCCTCCTCTTCTCTGGGCTGAAGATCAGTGAAGCCTCTTCGGTTGCCTTTTTCCTGAGGTCTCCCAGGCACATCCTGGAGGAACAGCCTTTTTCTTACCACCTGGGCTGTGTCACAGAGTCAGTCTCCACGCTGCTCTTCTAGAAAATCTTTCATCCAGTTTGACAGCAGCGTTTCTCCTTTCACAGGGCACCAGAGGGTCTGTTCAGAAGTCCTGAACCTGCTTCCTCTTTCCCCTCTATTGACACCATCTCCTACTCCTTCCAGGGTGGATCAGCCGTCTGGTTTTGTGTCTGCAGTTTTTAATAAGTGATTTGATCAAGTTTGCCTCTTTGTTACCTTTTAGATTCCTGCTTTAGTCTTTTGGCCAAGATATTGTGTCTGCAGATAAATGATGTTCCCTCCAAAGGGTCTGTAGGAGCTATCAGTACAGACTGTGGACAGAGTGTCGTCCCATGGCCGCTCTCTTGTGTCCAACTGGAAAGGGGTGGGGAGGCAGCATCTTTGGGAGAAGACTGGGTTTCCCATATTTGGGAAACAGAACACTGGCATTGACAAGTTTGGATTTCAGCTGGTGGCATTAGTGCAGATTTTCTAAGAATGAAAAGAAGAGATTTGTTTGTATATATCCATCTCAGATCATGCTGGGTTTTTTTTAAACAGAACAATCTGATTGGTCCTGTGTTGTTCTTTCCTGATTGTGATGACTCTTCCATGGGTTCCTAAGGTTTCACCAAGGCCCTGGCAAGAGGACCACACTCTTGATCCCTGTGTCGGTCAGTGAGATGAGTAATCTGAAAATAAGCCGGGCTGTTCGACTGTTCCGTGGGACATTCTCTTTCAGTCGATGGCCAGCAGTCACACCTTGCTCCATCTCGGTGTTCGTGGTTCCTTGGGTCAGCCTGAGCTGTGAAAGGTCTCATTGCCTGGTCTGTGGCCTCCACAAAAGCGTTTTGACTCTTCCCCCACCGTTCCATGCCACAGACTGTTACTGGGGTGCCTGGCAGCAGAAACCTTTGCAGTGCTCATGCGGATTTTGCCTTTGGCCCTCAGCAGTGGTTCCGTACGGCGTGCGAGTACGTAAGCAGTGAGCTGCTGTTCCTCTCACCGTGGAGCTGCCTTTCACTGCCTGATCTGCAAAGTACTTAAGATCCTAGAATCGCAGAATCGTTCTTGTTGGGAAGGACCTCAGGACATCATCTGATCCAATTCACACCTTTAGAAAGCATGTGTGTAGATGATTGCAGACATCTCGCCACCCTCTTTGACGCCCACCTTTGATGGGAACCAGACCTCTCCAGCTCTGACAGGGAGGGATGGAGTTTGGGGTTTGGACTGTTGCCAGCAAGGCCCACTTCTTGGCAGTTCATTTGCCCAAGTCTTTGAGCTTTCTCATGGAGAATCTGGGACTTTGGACCAGAGATGGGAAGTCAAATCTAGTGGGCTGCCACTTGAGCAGCTCCTCTGAAGAAGTCCTTTCAGCAGTAGGTGTCTTTACTGCCACTACCTACAAAAATGCCATGTGTCTTATCCGAGAAGGCCAGGCAGGGATCCCTCTCAGATGCAGTTTTCTACTCATGGTCAAAGATAAATCTCTTTTGTCCTTTTCCTCAAATCCCTTTCTTTCATGGACTGTCTGAAGCTTGTTGAGAGCGTGTGCGCTGGGAATTCTTTTTGTTTAAGCTTGGCCTTGGCTTTGGCTGGCCGTGTAACTTGAGTTTCGGCCAATTTTGAACCCTCTGTCCAGGACTTGGACTTCATCTAGCTCACTGTGCAGGTGGTACCTGGGTCTCTGGGGTAAACTCTTCTCTTTGGGTCAATGTCAGGGAGAGCAGGAAGGTACTAACCAGAGAGACTCTGCTAACTGCACCTGTAGCATTTTTTCCATCTTTGTCTAGTCCAACCCCCTGCTCTGACCAAGCACGATCAACCAGAACGGTTTGCTCAGGGCTGTGTCTGGTTGGGTCCTGAGTCTTCTCTACTCCAGACTAAACAATCTCCCTTCGCACAGCCTCTCTTTGTATGACAGATGCTCCAGCCCTTTAATCATTCCTGTGACTCCTTGCTGAACTCTCTGCTATGTCACTCTCTTGTACTGGGGAGCTCTGAACTGGACCCAGTCCTCCAGGTGTGCTGTCCCTGACAAGAGGGGAGGAACCATCTCCCTCCATCCATCAGCAATATTCCTCCTCATGAAGCCCAGGATGCTGTTGTCCATCTTTTTTGCCCGGGCCCATTGCTGGTTCTTGTTCAGATTGTCCTCCAGGATCCCCAGGTCCTTTTCTGCAAAGTCACTTTCCAGCTACTTGTCCCACAGCCTGTACTGGTGCGTGGGGTTATTCCTGCCCGGGGGGGAGAGTTTGCATCTCCCTTTGTTGCATGGCATGAGATTTGTGTTCGTGTCTGTCTCCATCCAACTGAGGTCTCTCTGAATGACATCGCCATCCAGTGCATGGCACACCTCCCAGTTCTGTGGCATCTGCAGACTTGCTGAGGGTGCGCTCTGTCCCCAAATCCTGTTTGTTAATAACGAGGTCGAACAGTGCTGGCAGGGACGCCTGGCAGGTACCGCTAGTGACTGGGCTTCATGCCACTGATCACAGCTTCTTGAGCCCAGCCATTTAACCAGTTTTCAGTCCATTGAGCTGTCTCAGTTACCAGTACATGATGCTTTGGCCACCTGGCATTGTTGTCACACCTTTATCAAGTACTAGCCCTTCTGGGAACACCCAGAAATAGGAAGAGAGGTGGCTGAGTTGTCACAGGACTGTAGGATAAATGAGGTCAGAGTGCTCCTCGATGTCACCTAGTCCAACCTGCTTAAGCAGGATCAGCTACAGGGTCAGACTGGAGTCCTTTGGACGGGGAAGATGGGAGACCCTCTGCCAGGGGAGAGTCACGTGTGTAGTCTTATAGTGTGGGTGACACCTGGGGATTCCCCCAGAGAAAGGGGACTTCCAGGTAATCAGCGTTCAGGGTGTGTGGCCTGTGTGCACATACTCCTGACCCAATTGGCTTCAGCCTTTCTGATAAAATAAGAGAATTGTAGAATCATTTAGGTTGGAAAAGACTTTTAAGGTCATCGTGTCCAACCGTAAACCCAGCACTGCCAAGTCCACCACTAAACCGTGTCCCCAAGTGCCACATCTGCACATGGAGAACTGAAACACAGACAGATGTGCTTTTCCCTTGTAGTCAGGGCTGGACTGGGAGAGACTGGTGGTGAAGATTTAGGCAAGAGGGATACGGCAGACACCAGCTTTCTGGTCCCCAGTGCTGTGGCACAGCAGTCCCTCTCTTAGTCCCTGTGTTTCATACATTTCGAGCACTGCAGTGGGTGATGGGGAGCCTTTCTTTTCTTCTGGGATCCTGAACGTTACCAGTATTCCTTTGTGTGTTAAAAACCCAACGTAATAGTGCAGTGGTCCTCAGTGAGTTCCTTTAAATCATCTTGTTCCAGTGAATTTATTTTTTCTGATCTATAAATAGTTCAGCAGTTGGTATTGAGGTATTGGCCTTGCTGACATACTTCACAGTGATAGGAAGTTGTACGTTTTTTGGCTTTTCTTAGCACAAAGCAGAAATTCTCGCTGGCTGTTTCTTCCCTGCCTGCATCACTGGTAATACTGTTGGTATTTTAGGATTTATTTTCTTCCAGGTTGTTTTAGAAAACATTTGTGTTACCCTCAGTTGCAGTGGTCGTGGTTTTGAGTAGATGGCTTCCTCACATAAGGAACTGGTGGAAATTTCCCTTGAGGAACAGAAAACGTGGTAGAGGAGTGCAGGAGCCCTGCTTTGACACATGCTGAAACGTTGCTTCTCCCCTCCAAGGATAAGTCCTGGTTTTATGTTTTGGTAGAGCACTTGTCTGTTCATTACCAAGTGCGGATGGAGCTGGGAATCTTACCACCAGTCAACTTCATAGTACCGTTCACTGAACACTTTCAGAAGGACCCCACTGTATTTTCGGCAGCGTGTTGAAGACACAAGGTGCCGATGGAGGTTACAGAACGAACAGAAGTTGGAGTTCCTAGGCCAAAGGAACGGTTGCACTACAGCACAAAGATACTCCGAGAACCAACGGTCTCCGATTTCCAAATGTTTCTCCTCCTAACTCACCGTATCTTGGTGTAGTGATGGGGGTTCACCTGGAGTCTTTGACGTAAGGGATGATCAGCAAGCCCGTGCACAAAGAACCAACGCAGTTGCACATTGTGTCTTCTTGATGACAGCTGGAGTCTCTTGCCTTCTGAGCAGCCCATCCTCCCACTGCCCGCTTGTCCCTGTGTCAGCGTTGGGGGAGAGGCAGGACTGGTTCCTGGTTGATGGAGCCACAGCACGGGCTGGTACGGCCAATTCTGGAAGCTTCGTGCTGTGATTCAGCTTCTCCGTACGTGCTGACCCCCCACGTGCAGCTCTGGTGCTGTGCTGCTGGAGCTGTGAGGGGTGAGGAAAACAGAGGACAACCGAGGACATCTTCAGTCCCTTCTGCTCCTGACTCTTTAATTTGCTGCCCCAGCTCTGGAAAGGGGCAGATGGAAGCAGACGCAGAATGGGCCTGGCTTGTGCAGATGTCGTAGTTTTACCCACCACAGCCGCTCGCTCACCCTCCTGGGGATGGGAGAGAATGAAAGGGGGGAAGGGAAAAGAGACTCGTAGGGTGAGATGAGAACAATTTAATAACTAAACTGCAATAATATTTGAAATCATAATAATAATCATAATAATGATGATAATAACAGTGATATATACAAATATACAAATGAGTGACACACAGTGACACTGCTCACCACCCCATGGCCAAGGCTCAGCCTGTTCCCAGCCAACGATCCCAGAGCAGGGAGAGTCCTGAAACTGCAATCCCAGAACAGAGATAAGAGCCTGAGTGTCCGAGAGACCGAGACGACCCTGAGAGAGGGGTGACCCGGAGGGAGACAACCCAGAGCAAGAGAGAGAACTTCCAGCCAGAGCCTCACCTCTCCCCTGGCCATGCCGCGCATGGGATGGAACAGACCATCGGCCAGGTTGGGTCTCAGCCCTAAACCTGAGGTGGAATCCTGGGCTGGTCACTGGGGCTGTGCTCCCTCCCAGCTCCTCCTGCCCCTGCAGACACGGGCACAGCAGAGAAGCTGGAAAGTCCTTGACTGTCCTGGCAGCAGCTCTGCCCATCAGTGTGTGATCAGCTTCTGCTCAGCACAAACCCAACCAGCCTCTCCCTGGCTGCTGGGAAGAGGGGTCACTCTGTCCCAGCCCAAACCAGGACAGCAGAGCCAGGCTAGCATTGGGGGTGCGGGGTGAAGCTGGAGTGCAGACTGCCCTGACAACAGAAGTACCAAGAGAAATGTGTGTGTGTGTTTCCAGCCTGGCTCATCTCCCGGCTGTGTGAGCACGCTAAGCTTGTGCTGATCAGCTTTTCCTCTCGGTGCAGGGCTGTATCTGCACTAAGCGCCAGGATGTCCGGACAAGCTGATCTCTGGCTGGGCCAGTGCACGGGCAAAGCAAACACGCACACACGTCTCCAGCTGTCTTTGCGGCCTCATTTTCCTATCCAGCTACTGGGCAGGTTGCATCACATTAATGGAAATCTGTTTTGTTTGGTGTTTAGATGGATCCTGAATATCGGGTGAAAAAATTCTTGGCTCTTCTGAGAGAAGAAGGAACGTAAGTACTTTTATTTTAAAGCATTGTTTAAAATTCTCTTCTCCGCTCAGAAACGAGCATCCCTTTGAGGGGACACTGCAGTGTAGTATCTCTGATCTCAGTGTTGGCCCCTCTGTATTGACAGAGCTGTGTGTCAGATCAGTTCTCCTTACAGCCATATACGAATTGTTTTGGGAGGGGGGGATGTCCTGAAGACTTTTTGAGAACCTCCATGCCTGAATTCTCTGCTTTCCTTAATTTACCTTTGAGTTTAAAATTTAAATGAGATATTGGACCACAATTTAGCTGTCTTTAAAGTAAATCAGATGGGATTCTGCTAGAGTTAAAATCCAGCTGTTTAGATAAAGTCTGGAACTTTGATTTCTTGTATTTCTCCTGTCTGAGAGAAGGATGTCCTGCTCTTTCCCCTGTAGGTATCACAGGGAATAGTTGAGCCCAGTCTTGACAGTGGCACCTCCTAGAAAATGACTTTCTAATACATGTAGGGCAGTACCTGTGCTGGGGAAGCTCACAGCAGTGTCTATCCCGGCTCCATGTGAGTGGGTTCCAGTGTGTGCTTGATGCTTTTATCCATGTGCATGCTTTCTTGATGGATTTGGCTTCTTTTGCAAGAGTTCCTTCCCTAGACTGAAGGTGGACCAAGTGCAAGATCAACAGCTGGAAAAGTGACCAACCTGGAGAATAGACACTGGGATCTTGACTCTTCTGTATTCAACACACTGGACAAAGTGAAATGCTCCCCTCTTTTCAAGACCCCAATGTGGAATCTGCATGTTTAGTGCAATACAGTATCTTTATTCTTCGTCTTGAATATACTGATGTCATGTGGAAGTGTCTTCTGGAACACCGTGCTTCTGTCTCTGTGCAGGCGGGGCTGCGTTCTCATTTGATTTTAGCATGGGGGAAATGTCCTGTAAGTTTTGAAGCTAATGCTCACTTGTGTCCAGCATCCAGTTGCTACGACAGGAAAGAAATCCCGATGTGTAATAAACCTGTCAGTCCGTGGTGAAGGCGTATTAAAGTACCACCGTGTGTGATCCTGATCCGATGAATGCTTCCCTGTTGTGTCATCCTTTGCCTCATTGAGCACTGAGCCAGGCTGATTACAGACAGTGCCCACAATAATTCAGCTCCAGAGTTTCTAGACACTAACACCTGCTTTTTTTATACCCAGGTATTTTGTGGCCCAATGGGAGACACTTGCTAGTGGCATTAGGGACTGGGAAGGATGGGGATCAGGGTAGAGGAAACTTCCAAATCCAGTATTTAAAGCATCAAAGCTTGTTGTTAACCCAACAAGAGTTTTAGAGACACTGATTCCAGCCTGAAAGCTCTTCATGAGTGGAATGTCGATGGCAGCTTTGGGGTCAGCCAGCCTCGTTAGATCCTGGTTTTCTGCCGTGTTACCAAAGGTTGAAATTCCTCCTTAGAGACAGAGAGGAAGCCAAGCTCTGCAGGTGCGCGAGATGTGCATCGCCGTGTTTTTTGCACTGAAATAGGGGAATGTATCAGCCTGGGCGATGCGGTCCTTCCCCAGCAGTCACCTCCCGTCTCTGCCATCCCGTCGACGATGACTGCGCGAGGCTGCTCGCCGCTGGTTCCTTGGCTCCACACCTTTAATGAGGTTTGTGGAACATACCTCAGTTTGGTGGGGCATGAAATCAAAGCCATTCGTGAGATCTTAGTGTAGCTTTCTAAACTTGACCAGACATGCTGCCGAGGGCTAGCAGCTCCTACCCACAGCGGTGTTCCCGGGGAAGGAGGATGTTTCACATTCTTTCAGGCCCAGAGGTGAAGGTGCCGTAGTCCTTAGTGCAGACCTACAGCCGTCGGAGTGTTCCAGTAACTCCACTCTGGTTTCTTTTCCTTTGGCAGTGCTGTTGTGTTGTGATGACATTGTGAGTCCCAGTGGTTATTATTCCTTCTCATTTTGTGTACGATCTTGTGAATTTATTTGTTCCTTTCTTTCCTCTGCTGGTCCCCGTGACAGCAGCGCACATTAACTTATATTTCGGGGTAAATGATGTAAACCTTATTGTGTCTCTGTCCAGAACTATACTGATGAATAAATATCTGGTTTAATTGCACATTCAATGGATTCAATAAAAAGCACAACTCCTTGTGATGATCTGGGAGACATCTGTGTCTTTGGTGCTAGTCGAACAGAGGCCGCACAGAGAGTGCCGAGGTGTGGTGTGAAGACAGCAAAGCTGTTCCCAGGCTGCTGGTAGCCAAAGGTGTGCTCAGCTTGTACCTGAGCATGGCTGAACTGAATGTATCATAGAACGGTTTGGGCTGGAAAGGAC